GCAATATAAATAGTCATTTATGCCAGAGAAACGATTCCATATGCACCCTCAAGGTTTACTACTTTCTTGTCCAATCGTCTGTGAACAATTTCAAACGGTTCCAAATTTAAACAGAAGCGGAATATCTCTTGTTGTTTCCATAACTCTTCAGAAGAAATGTAGCTGAAAGTTTGATAACAGTTTTTTGTGATTTGGATTATCTACTTTTCCCAAGAAGTAATAAAGGTAAGATTTTAATACAGAAAAGTTTGGTTCAGCAAGTAATTAAAGATGGGATAGATTTGAAAGAAACTTCTATTCTTCTACAAGTGTTTGATTGCAGAGCAAAGAGATGAAGAGATGCAATACATGCATTTATTTTAAAGCTTTGAAATTTTGAAAAAAGAAAAAAGAAGGAAAACCCTTTTCTTATTTTTGACAATTTTCACCCTTGAAATGCTTATTTAGAAAATGTAACTCCCTAAACAAATGGTAAAAATGAGCTCTGCATGCATAATAAAATAGCTGTACATACATTTACTTGTACTTTGACATACAGTAAATTCGATTGGATTAGCTAGACAATTTGAGTGTTGTTTGAAAAACTTTATTTTTCATTCTTTTAATTTAAGAGTTTTTTATTCTATGTCTATCTGGATTTGTATTACTCTGAATAATGTGAACTTCTTCAAAGTAAAGAATGTAACTTTCGGTACTGCACGTATTCAGAATGTGACACTTCAAATATGATTATTTAAGGATTTGATTAGGAAGTAAGTATGTTAATTATTTTATATCTACAATCATTTGATAAAACAAATCAAGTAAAACTTGGTAGATATGCACAAGAAAACTAGACGATGAGTTCTTTAGTAAAAAAAAGGGGTCAACTATACTAGAATTACCAACTTTAAAATTCAACAGGCCAAGATTTAATCTAGAAAAACCAACTTTAAGTTAGGAAAAAATCAACTTTGAAGTTGGAATAACCAAGTTGGAAGTTGGCAATTCCAACATTAATTTTCAGTTTGGCTTTTGAACTTTAAATATAGTATTTCCGCATTGAATATTGGTTTTTCCCGACCTTATAGTTTGAAAATCGAACTCAAACTTGAGGTAAGGGGTAGGGCTAGGGTTAGGTTAGGGTTACGTGTAAGGGTTAGGAATAGGATTAGAGTTCGGTTTAGGGTTAGGTCCTGGGTAAAATTGGAATAACCAACTGTGAAGGTGGAAAAGTCAGCTTAGACTTTGGAATTACCAACAAGAAAAATAATCAATATACTTCCATACAATTGAGAATTTCAGTGAATAGTTGACTTTCAAATGACAGATTTTGAATACTCAAGTAACATGGTTCTAATTTTTGTTTCATTAAATATATTTTGCGACAAACTATGTCTTTCGATTACTTCATTTTTTCCTCATCAACAATAACCCATGATTCCAAAGCGTGGTACCTGTGATAATTCTAAAAGTTTGATAACTAATTTTTCAATTCATTTTCCAATTATGTAGAAATCTTAGGACAGAACATGCTTGGTTACACCAATCGTATTGTCATACCTGCTTTATAGTTTTTCCCCATATGTTTAAAACATCAAAGTGTCAGCGTATTTCAATATCTGTGGCTCATTTTTCAAGACAAACCTAACTTAATATGTCAAAGGAAGGTTTGACTGAATATCATAGATACCAGTTGTTTAAACAATAAAATGCTTTCTTTGTTTGTTGTTACTGGAATGAACGGAAGCAGCTTTTGCAGAAAAAATACATAACCCGCGTAAGCGGGTTATGTAAATTTTTTCTGCAATAGCTGCGACCGTTCATTCCAGTAACAACAAACAAAGAAAGACATTTTATTGTTTATATTTATATCTGTTTAAATTATCATTTTAAGTAGGATTAAAAAATATTAATTATTGTGTTAATGATGCGAACGTCTTTGTACGTTTCATTGATGGAACGGCCACTGATCAAGAAATCTGTACAGGTGATATGCCTAATGTAGTTTATGCAGGGATGAACGCAATGGGTTTTCTTAAGAAATAAAGAAGAAAATATTCAGTGGATGTAAATATATAAAAATAACTAGTAAGCGATAAAGTAATAATTTGTAAAATGACAGAGGGTCCAGTTGTATCGCATCTCTTTATCTTTAATCTTAATCATTTTGACATTAATGTATCTTATATAGATATGCCTCATTTTTAATACAGATGATCCGTGCATTTGTTCATTGACGTCATCGGCAATGTAAAAGTTGTGGGGCGGAAGTTGTGTGCATTATCTAGCGTTTGACACGCGCACGTGAAATTTGAAAATTGCGTTTAAGTGAAATTATTAAAAAAGAAATATCTTATGGATCTAATCAAAGAGGATACAGACTCCCTTAAGTTGAAACATTGCAGAATCCTCCGTATGTGTAAAGGTCTGTGAGCATACACAAATAACCACTTTATATCATCTTCTAGTCTTAAGGTTATGGTTCAGATACATGGAAAGCCTCTCGAAATTCAACCCGCGGAATTCAGTTAAAAGTAAAATTTTGAAAGTGCCATTTAGGAGAGAAGGGTAACAAGGTTCGACAGTCAAAGATCCAGTTGTTTATGGGTATATCTTGAGAGTGCACTTTGTCAAACTTCACACCAAAGGGATACACCATCAACTGTTAACCATTAGATACTAATGTCTGAGGAACTTTTGTAAAAGTTTAAATCTAATATTCATGTTATTTATAGTACTCACAAGAAAATAGAGATGTAACTCTTAAATGAACATAAAATTGAAGTAGAAGACATCTTAGAGTTTGAAATAAGATATGAAAATAAAGAACAGAAATCAATCTCAAAGATCATTGAAACAACACAAACTGGGAACAATTAATAATCCCCATAGCCTAAAAAAAACTGAATTATATTTCATTTCCAAAAATCAAGAGATCTTTTTCCATCAAAGTTGGAACGGGTATGAATTTCCTTACGAATTCAATGCAAACTCTGATAGTAAGAGTAGCTTATACTTTACTTTTGTCAAACTTTAAACACATATATGCGTATATCTTATAAGGCCTTGACAATCTCTGCAGTCATTAATTGTATAGATTACACATTAACTGGTACAGGTGGTGTTAGAATCAATACTTTATCGACTGCTCCCTTTCAGACCACACATGTGACATGAAATTGAATCTGACAGAATACTCACCAGACACAATGGTTCGAATCATGTGACAAAAAGATGTGGGTGTTTATGTGAAGTACATTTTAAAAACTGGTATCATAACTTTTCAAACTTTGTAATGTAAATTCAATAATCGAATTGTAAACCTTATAAGGACATTGTCTTGATTACCTCTTATCTTGATGTTTTTAATGTTTTTTTTTTGACTTTTTTCTTGAGCATATGGGGATTATGAGAGAAAGAAAATCGTATAAGAATTGACACAAACGTGTTCAAAGATTTAAAAATCCTAGCATTCTCCCTCTTCCTTTCACCTTCCCTCATGAAGAAAATAGTTTTTGAAATCGTTGTTTGTTTACAACTTTGACAAAAAAAATTGATGGTATTGTATTAACCAGGTATTTTCTTCAAATTTCAATTGCCTATATTATTCATAATTGCTATGTCGTGTATGCTTATCTCTGAGTACAACTGCAGATGTTTTTGAAAACTTGAAATAAGTGTTCGGTTATGTACTAATTGCGTCATTTAAAACCATTAGGATATTATTTCAAATAGATCCTATTGCATAATGTTACACGAAGAAACGGGTTTACATCACCACGATGAAGCATTATGGAACTCAAACCTGAAAAAGCACTCACTCTGCCTTCTTTTTAAATATAAAAAAATCTGGAAAAGACATAATATTATTTATCGATGCATGGAGCATACAATGTGTAATATATCAGTAAAATTACAGATTTCTAGAAGCAATTTCTTCTATTTGGAGATTCCTTGCTCATTGTGAGTAAATATATACAGCCGGACAAATATTGACTCCCTCTTTTTTATTAAAAGTCCAAAGGTACTTGATCAGCTTTATGAAAGAAACGACGTGAATGACTGTGGCCAATGATCCGACTGAAATCTAATCACAGCTACATTTGCATACCATCTACATGGAGGAAATATGAACAATTTTTTTATTATGTATAGTGGTAAAAATTGTGCACAGGTGTTATGAATTGAAAGCATTCCACGTGCGGGCTACAACATCGTTTGAGTGTTCTTGACTTTTTTTGCTACTTCGGTTGTACGATTTGATTCAAGGTGTGTTCGAGTTGTCCATATCTGACTGTGCGCTGTACTCAACTTGGGGGACAAAATGTGAGTTTAGAGAGCATTATCTTTTATTCAATTCTTTTCCACTTTATCCTTTGAAATGATTCTTTTTCATCTCATGATTAAAAAAATATTCACTATAAAATAACAATACTAGTATAACAATACCCTTTAGTTTTATCAAAATAATAACATGTTTTTAATCAGTATAAATAAATTAATATTCATTGGCCTGTATTTAACACTTTTCAGATTCAATAAAACATATATGAGGACTTGATCCGTAATCTAACTTAAATTTGATTTTACATGATGAAACCTCTAAACTATCCCATATTTTATGATCAGTCAGGACAAAAGCTTTTCTTTTTTTCAATTTTAATATAAAGATGATAGTTTAAACGAAGATCTTCAAACTTTTCCAGCCAGTTCCATGTCAAAACATTAGATAACGGATTTAGCGAAGAGAAATTGAGATATTGAAACATTACAAACGTTAAGATCACAGACGCACCTCAGATTACAAGTAGACTTTTAAAGACGTGTTTCTTTGAATGTGCAGTTTTGCGGTGCATCCTCCCTAAGCCCCCAGGAATAGATTTATCTCGTTACGGTATTACTTTAACAGAAGTTGTAGAGGCTGCTTTCCTATCTCTTTTTCCCCCTTCATGTGAACAAAAACACTGTTTGTATCTAATGTCTCGATTTTACCTCTAGTTGTTGAGTAGTGAAAGAGTACTGTGTCTTGCTAATCGTTACCAGTTATAATCTGAATAATGAATGACTGTAGAGTGTAACTCTGATTAGTGCAAACAGATATTATTCCGGGTCAACATAACGCGACCGCTTCCGGATAAAAATTACTATAATTGACGTCTTGCATTTGAAACTCATGGAATTTTGTGGGATTGAATGAAAAAAGTGGGCTCGGGTATAAGGTTTTGCCTTTTAGTTATTTTAAGTGTCTTCAAATGTCTGAGAGTAAAAGGAACTATGGCTATACTTGAATGAAAGGCGTGAATGTATCTTCCACTCGGATGTTTGTGAGCAGTACCCATTGTAAGGTGATTTTCCAAAGCAGCTGTCGCCGCAAAAGCAACGCGCGTGCATTTTTGCAAGGATAACTAGTTCAACACGTGTTGGCTTTTTTTTAACAGCGAGAACAGAAAAAAACAATATTATTATCCTTGGAATATAGATTTCTGATTTGATATATTATAATAATGGACTATACCTGAAGGATTTAGTATGTTTCTGGTGTGGGTGACGTTTGATTCAGACAAGGGTCAAAAGGTGAGGCTACTGTTTGCTTTCTTGATTGTGAAACACGTACATGGATTTCTAAAATTGGAAATAATTAAATGAAAAGTTTATCACAGCTTTAAGTACCATTATATTTTAAAGTAAATAGTTTTCTTTTCTAACAAATTTAGAGAAAGCATGGACGATTAAGTTTTTCAATAATTTTCTGAAAAATTATATATATATATATATATATTTCATAAGCCAAATTGAATGCTGTGTCAAAGCACTTTGTTAATGACACGTGAAATAACAATAGTAAAGAAAAACCTGAAATGACTTAAATATGCCTGTCCAACCATGATTTATCATTTTTAAAGCTTAAGAAAAACTAAAATTAAATAAACCACATAAAATATTCTAAAAGTTTAGATTACAATGTAACAACTGGTCTTTGTTTTACAATTTTTAAAAGATACCTATATATATACTTATTTAAAAAATATTTTTTTTTATCAAAGCAATACATGTACCATTACCGATTAAAAAAAACTTCTGCACATTTGCAAGGAAAAATAATTGAACAGTATAAATAAAATACTCTTATCAAATTTCTGATCAAAATATGACGTAACATTATTCTTTAAAACAAAATATCCAAAAAATATTCCAAAATATTTCTTTTATCTTAAGTAATTTTGCATTAACACAAAAACGTCAAAACCGATAATAATCGCATACCTGCCTCTCAAAAATGGTGCATCCGCAATCTAGGAAAACAAAAAGAAAAAAGTCATAAAAAAGATAATTCAGCGAATAATTCATTGATAAAGCTTCAACATTACTTTACCATCGTATTTTTCCATGTGGAGAAAAATGGTGGAGATTCTTTTTTGTACAAGCGATACAGTGTGACATATGGACTAGCGTCTTCGGATAATCTTATCGGTAATATTTCGACAACCATTAATTGTTAATGCTGAGAAGTTGCTGCTTGAGCTATTTCGAAAAAGGGGCATGTGGTTCTATAAACAATTTTTAAAAGAATAATATAGAAGTTAAAAATAGCAAGCTTCAACCTTGATCTTTACCAAGCATTAAATAGAAGATGTTCAACTTTATTTAATTTCTTACTGTCATTCAATCTCATTTATTTGTTTCTCAATTACAGAGAAAAAAAAACCTCGAACGAATGAATCTTACATCAATTTGCATGTGTTCTATGAGGTTGCATTACTAAAGGAATACTCGAAGTTCCCCATAATTCATTCAATATGATCTCCCCGTGCGTCATAATATTCTCATTTTCAATGAAGCATTCACTCATAAATCTCATGATTATGCATACATTTGCAGAATATTTATTTCTACGCCTTTATCTCGACGTATCTCCTAAACCTACTGCAAATCATTGCTATTCGACTATTACTGTCCATTAATTAGTTCGTATCAGAAGTCTATTAAATTTACGAACAAGTGATTTTTGCACAATTCCCTAACGTTACTTGAAAATTCATGACACGCATATGTACAATAAAATTTATAGTCAGGACGGATGCTGAATTTGTATAAAAGCTTCATGACTTTCTCGCTCTTTGACCAGTACTTAGGACAACTAGGTTTTCTTTGTTAAGAACATCGATTTTTCGATTATACATGGATATATTCTTGAATTATTGAGGAGTTCGTACCTGGATTTTTGTTTGACTAATTAAGTGAAGGACCGAGGCAACTATCCTATGAAACACGTGGGTTTCAAAATCGAACCATATGCACCTCATGGGCACCCATGTTTTTTTGGTTTTTTTTGTTTCTGATCTTCTTCTGATTCATTGTGAATTATGAATCATTTTGAGTGATTCAAAATGTTTACTGATTATACAACTGCTGTCTTGTCCATATTTGGTCATCTTCCTTGTTCGATTTTTATTGCAGTCTAGTTTGTTTTACGGCCTTTTTTTCATTTTCATGAATATTGCCCGATTTTAACAATTTTCTTTAAAAAGGTATTTCCATTAACCTTGTATCCAAAACTTTATTATGCAAGTTTCGTCTGGAAGAAATAAATATTATGAATTCATTATTCATACAGGAGTCTTTAGGCATGCATATCCGATAAAGGTTAACGGAAAATGTGACAGGAAGTCGGCTGTCTAAGAAAAAGAAGATGCTCTTAAAATTGATTTTTTTAAGGTTATCTAAACATTTAAAGACGGGGGCATGCTGGCGAATTTTCATAATAGACCGAGACACATAGGAACCGTCGACAGATTGTGACATTAATTGTTCACATTAAATCGTATTCATTTAACGGCCCCACGGAATAAAACCTAGCTGACAACGGAAACTCAAGAAGCTATTTTCAATCAATTTTTAAAAAATTGTACTTCCGATCTGTCTTCCCTCTTTTACGTGCACATTTGTTAAGTCGTGTAAATCAATGTCGTGTTCGCCAGCGGAAAGCTTAAATCCGGAATTCAGGTATTTAGCTGAAGAGAAGATTAATAAAAATGAAAGGCGATTGAATTATGCAATCATTAATGTGCATGCATTATTTTTTTTTCCGATTGACGCCGTGGTTATTCCTCTTGGCTTGTCTTTCTGTCAATACATTCCAATAACTGATGGGATTTCTATGTTTAATTTAAAGAATTTTAGTGAAAAATTATTTGTCAAATGCAATGAAATTACTATATTTTCAAAATATTTGTTTTTATTTTAATCAAACAATATGAACAGTAAAAACATTTCTCTTAACTTACTTTTGTAAATAAAGCCAGCATTTAATTGAAAACAGCCAAGTCTCTCCGAATGCTTCATTAAAGCTTAATTTAATTGGCCAAAAATAAACTTATTTTATTATTTAACTTCGCTGTATCCAGTTTTTATATCTTTTATACCACCTGCAAAACCTTCTCGGATGGCTAAAATTTCACCGAAATTACTGTAAAGACTCATAAAAATTAGTTATCATTATTTAAATTGTAGATTGAAGCACGTGTCTTCAAAGTTTTGAAACAATGTTGGTAACAATCTTTTAACAAACTATTACGCATTGCATGAACGGAGATTCACATAAATTTTGTTTGTACACAACTTGTGTTTTTGTCATTTTCAGCATCAGAGATATCCATTTATAAAAAGCTTCAACTTTTCCATTATGCTTGGGAATTTATCCAATTTTGTTGACAAATCAAAATAAATCAGATGCCTTTCATTTGTAACAAGATTGCTTAATACCTCTGAACTTGATAATCTTGACATCTTTGGCAGAGAAGCCTCCATATTGTCAGTTCACGAGATTGTTAATGTTTCATAAACCCCCTACATATGTTTCACTTTGTTTAATAGCTGTTCAGAGGTGATTTTTTATTCGCGCTTTCTTGTCGTTTGGCAGTTTTTATGACAGAGCAGACTGTAATTTACCTTTAATGCATTTTGCATATGTCGTCTGTTTATGATAACATTTTGAAACTTTGAATATTGTTGATGGATTGGCAGGTCTGATGTCTTCCAAGGCGTTAGGAATGCAGTTTCAAGGATAAGAGTCTGTCATCATAAACAAACGTTATGTAAAGGGACCAACCGCTTCAAAAGCGATCAGCAATATAATGAATGGAAGACCTTATGACATTTTATTAGTGAGACCATTTTTCATCTACCTTAAAAAGACGTTTTGGGTCTTAATCATTCCCGTTTTTATATTTTTTAACAACTTTAACTGCTCCTGGCATGTTTAATTCTAAGCAGTATCTTAATGATTTCTGGGAACATTTTAATTGACTCTAGCTGTTTCGTAGATTGTGATCAGTGGTTAATTATAAGGTCGTGGTACCTTTGGCAATGTTTTCAAGAATGCTTGATGCTGACTATGTTACAAGGTAAAAGTATTAATAATCATCATGTTCATTGATGCTGATTTGAATTTAGAGTTTCCTATCGATCGATTGATATTTCTGATCGATATTTAACTAACCCCCACCCCTTTCCACCTTAACTTGAGGTGTTTATTTTGAGCGCGCTCGCATCATTAACCAGTCATGATCCAAGAGGGATAACTCCAGTATGCCCCAGTCGTAAAAGGGTTGGTCGAAAACAGTTGTTTGAGTTTAGCAAATAGCTAATTGAAACTTCAATAAATCTTGTGGATGCATTTAGATGCATTACGAAGGCATTTGAGGTATTTGTGTTTTGCACTCCAAAATGATTTGTGGGATCAATTCTTTCAAGAATTTATGCATGTTCAAGTGCATTGAGAATTCGTAATTCCTTTTCTTCCCTTGTACTTTAACATTTTTTAGAGACTTTTTCAAGTTAAAAAGAATTCAATTATTTGATAATTTTACAAGTAAATAAAACATAGCACTTGGTGTATAGGTTGATAAAATAAATTTACCTCCAAAAGAGACTTTGATAACCATTGTGTTTTACATGTATTCCCAAAATGCTCTCTATATCTAAGTAGTAAATGCAAAATTTTAAAAATGACAATTATATCGTAAATTCCGTATGTACTGTCATCCTCTAATTTAAAATTACAGAAATTATATAACCGAAGACAATTTATTAAAAAATGTTTAATTTTGTTTTATACATCATCTGCGTCTTTTGAGTTTTATAACAGCGCTTTATTAACGGTCCAATCTAATACTTCGTTTTCTTCAGAAGTCTATTTTCAAGAATACGTTGACAATTTGTGTGAATGTTGTCATGGTTAAAGCTTTAAACTTTATCATCATTCGACTATGTATGCAAGCAAACTGCGACAGAAATTTTATAGCCAACTTGTTTAAGTACGGAACATTAAACTGAAGTTTTAAGACGATTACGCATATGGATGCCATTGATGTAGCTTTGATTGCCTGGATTTTACGCAACGTTGTTCGATGTTGAATCCTTTTTAGCCTCACTTAAGTTATTTGTAATCGCATTATCCCGTGTACATAATGTGCTCTGTTATTTCAGCAAATATGGATATAAAACGGCTATTAAAAACTCTTACGATCAGAGCACAGTTTTAGATGATGACCGGGGATGCCATATTCGACGTC